AATTAATTAATTAATTAATTAATTAATTAATGAGTAAATGAAAATAAATAAACAAATAAGATAAATCAATCAATTAATTAATTGATTAAAACGCGGAAGTAAAGAAAGAAAGAGAGGATTATTCCTGTATATCATTTACTTGACTGCTGCGACTGCCACCGGGGCCGCTAGTAAGCCACTTTGGCTCTCCTTCCCGCCAAATCCACCTCCTGAAACACACATGAAGAATGATAGCCCACGCAAGTGAAAGTATGATTTAGCTAGTGCATAGTCTAGCATCATTATACGTGTAATTCATATCACATATGTAGAAAAAAGATCACCCCCCTCCCCCTTAAAAAAAACCCAGCTCGTTTCTTCTTTTTTCAAACAGTTTTGATTCTTTAAAAAAAAAGATGCACACCTAATGGTAATACTAATAAGTATGTAGGCCTACCACACGACCAGGAGTATGTGGTGTAGAGGTTAGGCGCTTCACTGTCGCACACAGGAGACCCGAGCTCGTTTTGTGAGTGGAGAGAAAATTGTATCGAGTATCTCGGCCTTTCTTCTGGGATGTTGTATCCCTTTCAGCCCACAGGTTGGTTCTGACAGGCAAGGTCGGAAGCCCGTCTCCAAAATAATATAAATTGTGTTGATTGAAGAGTAGAAACGTCTATTTTATGAGAGAAAAAAAACTATTAACGGTTGGTATATTTTTTAGCAAGGTTTTACGGAGCTCGCAACTGCATAAGGTCATATAAGCGCCGAGGGGTGGATGTCAACAGAGAAGTCCTTACAGGGAATCAGACTTACTCTGCTCACCTCTCTAGCCTCAACAGCTCAAAGTCTGCTTCGACTATCAAGGCACCACGGAATTGTCACGAGTGTGACAAACATACAAAAGAAGTAGAGGAAAATGGCGATAGTAAGGATGAGGAAAGAAAAAGCAGTAGTCCCCCCTATGTTGTTCCGGCCAGGTTATGAGCACGACATTGATAAATCAGTCTTTCTACAATTCTATTGAGCATAAGAACATGTTAATATCCCCGCTTTGGAAGTGGCCAAAAGACACTTCAGTCCGTAGCAGTGCCCGAGGGGGGGGGGACTATTAATGGGTCAGTTAAACTTTCACGTTCTGTTGTAAGTAATTCAGTTTATTCAATGTTTAGGGCCATTGGCTCATATCACATCTTATAAAACGCTCATTTGTTAATTGAATAAAGTTTCCATAATGAAAGAGTGCAGGTTTTGCACATATCTCTTATCATGGGTCAAACATTGCATATTTCTGTCACTGGGCCGAGCCAGGCTGAGAGGTATCAACTGTATTCTTTGACGGACGAAGGGTCGGACGGAAACCCGCGTCCTAAATGATCTAGATTGTGTTGGTGGGAGCTTTGAAAACACCAACTTTAAGAAAAAGAACTATTAATTGGTCGCTTTTAAGGACAAGGAGGCTAACCTAGATTTCGGGGATTTCCAGAAATCTTGACCTACACCAAAAGTGGGCATTGCCCTACCTGTAGGAGAAGTTTGGTTTCATTGGTGTGTGTATTTGTTTGGTTATTTAGAAAACTCTCCTGTCTTTTAAAGAAACTGACCAAGGGGCAAAAACTTTACCTTCGATTTTCTTCAAACAGCATTTTTCGGGATAGCCCCCTTGTGCATAAAAGTGACCAATTGGTCAGTTCAACTTGCACGTTCAGGACTTACCGAGTCGCTTGGTCCTCACGGTTACTTTGTTGTTGGGAACCCCAAGAGCACCAGCGACCAAGCTCTGCAACACAGTCACCAAGTTTGGCATCATCATCATCATCATCATCATCATCATCATCATCATCATCATCATCATCATCATCATCATTGCTATTAGTGCGGGGGAAAATATATAGATCTACTTGGTATTTCAGACATTTTATGACAAAAATAAAAGTTTGACTTTTCGCCCTTTTGAGGAATACCAAGAACGTGATTAAAAAAACGAAAGCAACATGGCAACATCATCATCATCATCATCATCATCATCATCATCATCATCATCATCATCATCATCATCATACCAATACAGTATCATATACAAAATGTATCTACAACAGATAAAAAGCAGGCAGATATACTCATTCACATACTCTCTCTCTCTCTCTCTCTCTCTCTCTCTCTCTC